GCTACTGTGGACATGGCAGCAGCTGGCTAACGTCAGGCACCGTTCAAGGTTTTAACACAGGTGATCTCATGCTCCCTCTTAACAGCTTCATAGGTTTAGGTGTTACAGTTACGCCCATTTTGCAGCAAATAACACTGAGGCTCAGAAAGGCAAAGCAATGCATCCACAGTCACACAGCTGGAAAGGGTCCGCCGCTGGAATTATCACTGCACTAGACGCGTCCTCCTCTACGCCCAAGTCCAGCCTCCCTGGTGGCCAAGAGGCATCAGTGTTGGGTTCCCCTAGTGCCTCTGCTGAGAGATGCATGGGAGTCAACACCTCCAAGACACGAGAGTTCTCCAGCCTGGCACCCAAAGGGAAGGCTTCTTCCTGAAGAATCCTCAGGAAACCATCTTCAAACTGCCGCTACCACCACTGAACCGGAAAAGGGTCTTGATGCTCTTTAATGCCTGCTTTTCCCTGACACGGGTTTCGTGGGCAGAGGTCCCTAAGGGCAACCTCGTGCACCTTGGCCTGGCCTCCAAGGCAAACCCGCTGGGGTGGGGGGGGGGGAGACGTTAAGAAGGCAGCGAGCACACCGCAGCATATGGTGGCGATTAAGGGTTCAGGCTGTGGAGTCCACAGACCCAGCTCACATCTCACCGTCAAGGTCTACTACAAAAGCTTATTTCATCCTCCTCAGCTTCCCCACTGGTGGACTGGGTGAATGCAGTCTTAGAAGACATACAGTCAGAATGTTCCTTAGACGCAGAGATGGTGAAGTTTTATCCTGTTTGCTTCAGACACGGCATTGGGAAAGGTCACTGGCTAGAAAAGGACAGGGTGTGTGGGAGAGCAAGGTCCACAAAGTGAAGGAAATCTATGAGACGGATGGACAACGGCCTTAACAATAGACACTAAGGTACCAACATTCATAGCAATGGCACATGGCTGGGCAACACTTCACCCTGTTGGACCAAGAGCGCTCTAGCAGCCTAGCTGTTAAAAGAGCTCTGGGGGCCTCGTGGTGAGGCATTGCGATGCCAACTCAAAGGCTTTCTGAGTCTGCTGTGCTGTCTGTTCTGTGCAAGAAAGCAGGGCACACTGCTCCTGGGTGACTTACTGCCTTGGAAAAGCTGCTGGAGGGTTAGCTGTCAGTGGGTTCTGTCAGGGGCACATGGCAACAGACAAGGTCTCCACAAGCTCAAAGGACCTGGCAGCAGCGATAGGAGTGTTACAAACAATGTGGTTGCAAAGGTGCTTGTCTGGAACCTAGAAAGCATCCCTTAAATATAATCTAAAGCAGAATCTGCATGCAGACACCCACAGCCCCATCTTCACCACTGACCCGAGTCCAAAGAAGCAACCGTGTTTACAGATATTTGGTCCCCAGGTCAACCAGCAGCCAACAATATGTAAGTCAGATCACGAGGTTTGTTCAAGAGACCTTGTTCAGATCTCTTGAGGTCCAGGGAGTTTGGACAATAAGTCTGGAAATTTCCAAGTTCCCAGAACCATTCTGAGACCAATAACAGTGCTTCATTCCTCCCAAAGCACAAGATTGGTTAATGTCTGTTTGACAAGTGGGGGCTTTGCCTGAGGAATCCCGCCGCATCGGGACACAGCCACCAAGCAGCCTCTTTTCTTAGTTCTTGTTGGTGACTTGTGTTTGTGTGTCTAAGGATGGTCCAAATTCTGGACACTGGACTCCCAAAGATGTCATGGCTGCTAAGGCAACGAGATACAAGAATAAACCAAGAGTCAAACTTCCTACCACCAGCTTGATTCCAATTTACGCTGACCCTGCGCTGGGCTCCGAGGCTGCCGATCTTAATGAGGGCAAATAACATCACCTTTCTCCTGCCGAGCAGCTGGAGGCCTTGAACCTCCAACCTTTAGCTTCGGAGAAAAACACAGAATGGTTTTCTTCTCACGATGCTTCTAGAGCTCCTCACTTGACTGAGTCAGTCTCATGCTAAATGCACAAAAACCAGTTGTCACTGGTTGAATCCGACCCACGCTGACCTCACATGTATCAGAGCAGAAGTGTACTCCAGAGAGTCTGCAGTGGCTGAAGGTGGGTGATTTGCATCTGCGGCCCTCGCTCAGGTTCAAATTGTCTTCCTGTCAAACATTCTTCTAGGTGGTATAGCACTGGTCTGTGCGTTGCTGTACAGAGGTAACTCGTGGTTGCTGTGATGCTGAAGCCTGTGACAGTGATGTGCCAATCGTGGTAATGGGCACCCATGGTGGACAGTGTTGGCTGGAGCTTCCTGACTAAATCAAGCCTGGAAGCAGGAGCGGCATCCACTTCCGAAATGGCTTGCCTCCGGAGACTCTATGTAAGAACAGTGCTCAGGCCATTCATTCATAGGGTCGCTATGAGTTGTCTACGACTCGACAGCATCAAACGACAACAACAACAACATATTTTTGCCAGACCTTTCTTCCAAGGTGCTTGTGGATGGTCTTGAACCTTCTACTTTCTAGTTAGCTGTACCTCTCAAAGGTCCCACCCTGGACAGATGGCAAGAACAATTTCCTGGCACCTCACACCAAGACTATGAAGCAAACTCTTTCATAAGCCTAAATGCACGGATTGAAACAGACATGCACACACAAACGGAGGTTTGGTGACACTAAGTAACTTGCTCTTGGTCATAGAAATCTGCAAACAGTGAAGACAGGATTCAACCCGTCTGACTGTGGAGATCATGGATGGTGACCTCGGCTGCCCACTCCCCAGGTGTCTGTCTTGTCAAGCCTGAATGAGCAGCCTCCTCCTGTCCCCTGCAGGCATTTGCTTTCTGGATCCAGAGCTGTCATTTCCCCATCAGTCCACTGAGTCAACTGTAACCCAAAGCTGCCCGCGTGTGCCAAGCTAGAACTATGCTCCACTGGCCTACCAATGACTGACCTTTTGGAAACAGGTGGCCAGGCCTTTCTTCTAGGGCGCTTCAAGGAGGGCTCAGACCTCTAACTTCTCGGTTAGCAACCAAGCCCACCAATCATTTGCACCACCCCTTATCCAATCACAGCTCCTGCTTTCTGAGGGCTAATCAATATTAGGAGCTCTAGGAAACTCGTACCCATTTACAGAGGAGAAGATTGAGGCTTAGGGAAGCTAAGACCCTTTCCTGAGGTCATACAGGAGTCAGCAAGAGAGTCCAGATCATGCCCAGGTCTGCCTGGCCATCACTGTCCTCATTCTCCCCAGTGTGTCCATCTCCAGCTCTTGCCAAGTGACAGCTCTGCACGCTGAACTCAAGCGCACAACTCCACCAAGCACTTCCATTCCAGCTCACAGGACAGTCCTCCAGACATGGCCTTTCACACTCAAGGAGGGGCAAGGGAAGTCTTAGAAAATCCCAGAGACACCCAGAGTCTATTTAAAGAGAGGATGAGGAGGGATGATTCCAGTTGCAATTAATTTTGTGGGGGACGAGGGAAAGAAGAATTCAAACCACAAGATAAAGATAAATAATCCAATTGAAAATTGGGCACAGGATATGAACAGACACTTCACCAAAGAAGACATTCAGATGGCCAACAAGCACATGAAGAAATGTTCAAAATCCCTAGCTCTAAGAGAGATGCAAATCAAAACAACTATGAGATATCATCTCACCCCAGTAAGAATAGCAAAACTTAACAGAACAGCAAGCAAAAAATGCTAGTGAGGTTGCAGAGAGACTGGAATTCTTATTCACTGTTGGTGGGAGTGTAAAATGGTGCAACCACTGTGGAAGACGGTGTGGCGCTTTCTCAAAAAATTGCAAATAGAGATAGCATTTGACCCAGCAATTCCACTACTGGGAATATACCCTAAAGAGACCATAACTGCCATACAAGCACATACATGCACACTCATTTTTATCTCAGCTTTGTTCACAATAGCAAGGAGTTGGAAACAACCTAAGTGCCCATCAACAAACAAATGGATAGAGAAGCTGTGGTATCTTCACACAATGGAATACTACGCTGCATTGAAAAACAAATAAGTCATGAAATATTATATCAAAATGGGTGAGCCTGGAGGACATTATGCTGAGTGAAATATCTCAGTCACAAAAGGACAAATACTGCATAGTGCCACTATGGTAAAACAGGACTGACCTCGGGGTTGGGGGGAGACTGAGAAAGATGGGATAAATAATGTATACTGCAATGAAACAGATGAAGGAGAGAACTGTTTAAAAGGGATATGTGATTAGATATTTTTGTCATGACAGGAGTCCAGAATGAAGGCTGCATAGTGGAGCGGACCTGGGGGGAGGGACTGTAAAACAATGAAAGACTTTTTCTTTTACTTTTCAAACAGAAGAGTGAACTGGAGGCTGAAGGTTGGGCAGGGAGAAAAGCGCAACAATGAATTAATGGAAATCCAAAGTCTCTGTAAATGTTCATTAAAATTAATAATAATTTTCTTAAAAAGAACTCAAATTCACCCAGCAGAAACAACTGGGCACATGTGAAGGAAGGCTCCACCCTGGCACGACGGCTCCTCAACCTACGTCTCGGGAGAGTCTGATGCCACCTCCCTGCACGCTAGTGAACAAGGCAGCCCCATTGCAGCCTTCCCAGGCAACATCCATTCTTTTGCAGTTAAGAAGAATGAGATGAGGCTGGGTCCAATAAAAGATACCCAAGAACTATCCTCAAGTGGGGAGCTGGAGAAGATAAGTCACAAAGCACATACAGTATGCCAAGATGTTAAAGAAGAACAAAACTATTTGTGCCAGCGGGTGCATGCACACACGTGAGAACGCATCTGTAAGTGAGTAAGATGGGTCTGCACTTTCCAAATGCATTTCCTCTAAGGAAGATACTGCATTTAGGGGATTGCAAATCAGACACTGCAAATGACCCTGCACAGTTTGCATTTCTTATATGGTCTCTACGTATATTTGCATGGCTTTGATTTTTAAATAAATTAGGGTATTTTTGCATGCCTTTTTTTTTCTAAAAGGAAAAGAAGAAAAGAGATAGGAAGGAGGCGAAATTGGGGCTGTCGCACCCACCTTTCCTCTTGGTGCAATGGTAAATTTGGCTGTGCTCCTGGGACAGAGGGTACGGGTTGGGCGGGGGCAGAAGGTCCTGGGACGTGCCGGAGACTCCATTCTCACACTGATACTGGGTCCCCAAGTTGGACGAGGTGGAGAGAGCCCGGGTCTCGCTGCTGAAAGGACTATGGTTGGAGGCCACTTTTTGCCTCACTGTGCTCCTGGGAACCACTGGGTATTCTTTACTGAAAGAGAGAAGACGGGAAAGAAAGCTGATCAGTGCACAGACCCATCCACTCGGCAAACCTCGGAGACAAGAGTCCACTAGAAAAATCACAGACTAAAAAAACAAAGAGATAATTAGTGAGCAATTCAATTCTGCTATAGTCATGCACACAAAATGCCATGGGCATATATTGAGGCACTAATTTTTCATGTCTTATCCACTAGACAAGTAAGTTTATTAAATGTGTAAAAGTGACTGAGTGATCCCAGGTAAACATTTCTCTTACGTTGGAGAAACATATACAACATTTTGGATTAATATTTCAACTTGTTGTTGTCATTTGTCGTCAAGTTTGGAACCAACTCATAGCTGACCCTCCAGCGAGTTCTCAGAAGAAGTTAATTGCACAGAAGGAGACTGTCCACCCTTCTTGCACGAAACAGCTGGTGGGTTCAAACTGCATGCCTTTGGGACTGCAGCACAGCTTCTTACCACCAGGCCACCGGAGCTCCCTATTTCAACTTATTCCCTAGGTGCCTGGATCCCTTATAATTCTATAGAAGAAAAAGAAAAACCCAAATCTGTCAACAATTCATTCTACTTGCATCAGCAACAAATATTCCAAAAAGAAGTCAAGAAATCAATGAATGAGCCCCTGGTAGTTAAAATAATTCAGCTGAAAGACAGGAGAATGGACAATTTTATAATACTCAGTTTGTAATACCCAACAATTCGGACCCAGCAAAGCTGTTTACTATGAATTTGCCTCAGATGTTGTTCTAGACTGTACATAAAGAAATATATGTGAGGGCTTTTGCCATGACCCAGACTAACTATTCATTAACATGATATGCTTTGTTTTAATTTTTTTTTTCTTATTGTGTACTGTCAAGTCAGATCCGATTGGCACAGGAGGATATTGCCCCTCCTTCTCCAGCAGAACATCTGGTAAATTCAAACTGTACGCCTTTGGGATTGCAGCACAGCTTCCTGCTACTAGGCCAAAAGAGCTCCCATAATGTGTTTTTAAATTCAACTTTTTATCCACATATATTTAGTCTCATTCTATACAATAATATCTCTGCAATTCTGGACTTGTACTGTTAATTAAAGTGATTTCAATGTGGATGAGATAAATACTTACCTGGTAAAATTACAGAGCACACCTCAAACCATTTCAAAGGCAAAAAGCACTGCTTATCACTCACTGTGAAGGATCATTAATTAGCCTAGTTTGTCCTGCCAGTGGCCCTTTGAAACAGGTACTGTTACGTCTATTTTACAGGTTTGGAAACTGAGGCTCAAGGAACTTTCCCAAGGTCACAGAGGTGGCAAGAAGCACAACCAGAATTCTCATCCAACAATCTCATAACTGTTTCCATAATTTCCTAATTTAAGTTCATAAGTGGCCTCCTAGGATACAATTATTGATCTCTTTTTGTTCTAAAACGTAAGAGAAAGGAGAAAAATCCAAGAATCAGAAAAAGAACCAGACTGTAGAGTCAACAGTCTCCACAAACTGCTGTCTCCTCTGTCTTGAGACTAGAACTAGTCTGTACCCAGCTATTACTATAGAATGGGGCACAACAGATGCAGATGGATAGAAAGAGGGGGAAGGTGAAACAGGTTTTCAAATTCTTGAAGAATTCAGACCTACTTGATCTGCAGAGGCTGGAGGAATCCCTGAGAAATAAGTCCACACACTACTACTCCCTGTAGACACCTTTAAATGAAATAATGGTTTGACTCAAAAGAGTGAGGATCTATCATTGGTGACTAATGGGTTCTTTTTAAAAAATTTTTTTCTAACTTACAGCATTCTAGGAAGTACAGTGGTGATTTGTGTGCAAAGATCTGAAATTTTAACAGAAAAAGTACCAAGTTCCTGAAATTCAATAAAATATTTTTATTGATTTTTTTAAAAGTTTTTTCTATAACGTCTAAATGCAATTAATCATCAAGAAAACAAAATAGACATAGATAGATATAGATAGAAGATATAGATATGGAAGATAGATAGATAGAGATAGAGATGATATAGATAGATACAGATAGATGATATAGATATATAGCTATAGATATAGCTATAGATAGATCTAGATCTAGATAGATATAGAGATAGAGATATAGAGACAGATACAGATATAGATGATATAGATATATAGATATAGATAGATATAGAGATAGAGATAATCACTAAAAGGAAAACTAATTTGCTCTGTAAACCTTCTCCCAAATCACATTTTGAGAGAAAGTTTATCTGTCAAGTTGACAAAGATTTTAAAAGCAGATGACACTTTGCATTGCCAATCTATCCAGGAAGCAGGTAATCTTAGCTTTCGTGGGCACGAACATAAATTAGTACAAACTTTCTGAAGGGCAATTTGGCAATCCTTAGAAAAAGCTATGAAAGTTATACAGCTTTTGACTCAGTATATCCAAATATAAGAATTTCTTTTAAGTAAAAAAATAAACGTGTTCATAAAGATTTCACCTCAAAGACAGTTGCGGCTTTTTCATTACTAACAAGACAAAACGGCATATAGTTTAAAAACAAAATTAGGGTGGTTGTTGTTATGTGTTGATTGTGTTAGGGTACTTATAGGTAAAATAATGCTGGGCTGTCAGTAGACATGGTGTGGATGTTGGTTATTGATGTTACTAATAAGTATTAAAGGGAGCTCTGGTGGCTTACTGGTAAGGTGTTGCACTGCCAACCCAAAGGTGCGTGGTTCAAATCCACCAACTATACTACAGAAGGTAAGTGGGCAGTCTCCTCCAGTGTGATTTTCTGCCTCTGGAAACCTGCTGGAGGGTCAGCTCTGGATTGGTTTTGACTCAACATAACAAAAACAATAATAATAAATACTGAACGAAAGTCAAGCAGCATATATAAAATTATCAATATAGTTCCACTTTTGCTTAAAATCACATAAAGACAAAAACAGGTATTAAAATTCTAACAATTATCTGTAAGTATTCGAGTGTGATCAGCTTTTGCATTTTTAGACTCATTTTTATTCTTCCCTTTTTAATCAAAGTGGTGTTCGTGTATGCATTGACCTGTAATAAACGTTTAAAAATAAAAAAAGGCCTTCTACTTCATTACCATGCTATCTAAATGATAAGCCACCTTTCCCTTTAGAAGGCCCCCTGGTAGTACACTGGATAAAGCACTGGGCTGCGAACCCACAGGTCTTTGCATCTATAGCGCAGAGGAAAGGTGAAGGCCTTCACTCCTGCTTACGGTTTCCAGCCTTGTACACCCAACAGGAAGTTACTGTGAGTTGGAACTGACCCAACAGCCGTGGACTGGGGGGCTTCTCTCCTCGCCCTTACATAATTTCTATTTGAGGATTTTCATGTTTTTTCTTGCACCTTTGCTCCCCACGTCATGTGTCATGTGTTGCTATTGCTGTTGGTGTGTGTTGTACAGTCAGGACCGACCCATAGCTGACTCTGCAACGGGTTTTCAGAGACAGTTAATCACACAGGAGGAGCTCAACCTTCTCCCACAGAGCAGCTGGTGGCCTTGAACTGCGTGCCTTCGGGATTGCAGCCCAGGCATGCCATTGGAAACACTCTCTAGCACTTCCTCCTCCGACTTAATTTTAATTCTCCATTTTCATTCCTGAGTGTTGATGTTTGAACCTCGTCTTAATAAACATCTGCTGTTGAAGAAGTGATTTTGGACTTTGCACGTAGGATGTTTCACAAAACACCAGATGCTCCTACCAGCTTACGGAGACGGGAAAATTCAGGGAAAGATGATTAAAGGGACAAGAAGAAAACAAGTGCCGAATGCCATCTTGATTAATATCTTCAAGACACTAATATAGAAATAATTCAAGATAGAAATATCTTCAGATTAAGCGTGCTCTGGCGGCCTTGTGGCAAGAAGCTGCACTGCAATCCCAGAGGCACAAGGTTCGAATCCACCAGATGCTTTGCTGGAAAAGGAGGGACAATCTCCTCCTGTACCGGTCAGATCCAATTTTATGGTACACACACACCCACGCACAAACACACACACAGAAAAGCAAACAACAATTTTAAAAAAAAATATCTTCAAATTAATAATATGTTAGCACTTAGAAGAGTATGGAGAAATTATAAAGAAGGGCAATTTAAAAATTAACCTTCTTCCCAATATCTTTGATTGCTGGGGGCTCAGTAAGTTAGGTATTGAGCTACTAGCCTACAGGTCAGTGGTTCAAACCCACCAATCACATCATAGAGAAGACAAGGCAGTCTGTCCCCATAAAGATTTACAGCCTTGGTAGCCCATTGAGAAGGTTCTCCTCTAGTGTGAGTGAAATTAACTTGATGGCACCCAACAACAGTAAACTCAGAATTCACTGCCTTTAGCTGCCTCTGACTCATGGGCCACCCTCCAGCTGGTTTCCAAAAGTAGATACATAGTCATACAGATAAGAGATCTGTCTCCTGAGGAGCAGAAGGTGGGTTTGAACCTGCAGAGCCATGAGCCTGTGGCTTAGCAACGCAAACGGTCACCAGAGCTTCTCAACAGCGTTGTTGTTGTTGTTAGGTGCTGATGAGTCAAGGATGACTCATAGCAACATTATGAACAATGGATTTGAACCCCGTCCTCACCTGCACCATCCTCACACTTCCTGACACACTAGAGCCCACTGCAGCAGTCACCGTATCAATCCACCTGGTTGAGGGTCTTCCTCTCCTTTACTGGCCTTCCACTCTTCCCAGCAGCATGTCACTCTCCAAGGAACAGCCCCTCCTAGCAACATGCCCAAAGTATGTGAGCTGAAGCCTCATCATTCTTGCCTCCAGACAGCACTCTGGCTGCACCCTCTCCAGGATCTATCTGTTCATTCTCTTGGCCGTCCATGGGATATTCAGCGCTCTCCAACCCCACAGCTCAAAGGCATCAATTCTTCTTCTGTCATCCCTGTTAATTATCCCAACAACAATACTCGCCTGGAATTACTATTGAGAGGATAGGGACTCTGAAAGAGCAGATGGTGTAGAGTTCAAGGGAGC